ACTATGATACTGTACCGCACTAGGTACACTATCACACTAGGTAGACTATGATACTGTACCGCACTAGGTACACTATCACACTAGGTACACTATCACACTAGGTACACTATCACACTAGGTACACTATGATACTGTACCGCACTAGGTACACTATCACACTAGGTAGACTATGATACTGTACCGCACTAGGTACACTATCACACTAGGTAGACTATGATACTGTACCGCACTAGGTACACTATCACACCTGCTACGCTTGTCCGTTATTGCTGTTTCAGGTGGTTAAAAACTGTTTTTCTTGTAGATAGTGGATTCAAGATATTCAATCAAGCTAATTCTTCACCAGTAGTAAACCAAAGAACAACACAAGCTGTTTCACCACTTAGTGTTTCAAGTCCAAGACCTCATTCTACAACACCACCAAGAGTATGTGCCCTGTATTATGTCCATAAATGCGTTCATTTATTTATTTATCCATTCATATTTTCTTTAGCTCACTCATCCATTTTTTTGTCCAGTTGATACAATCATTGCTGCGTCAGAAACAACAGTTGGGGTATTAATTTGCTCTGACAAAGTATTGCATCATGAACATCAGTCAGAGTATTACTCTACTCTGACAAACGATTACCATGATACCCATGCATTACACAACTGTTTCTTTAGAAACCCTGACTTATCAATTATTGGTTTGCCCGAGTTCCATCACTTTGACTATTAAATGACAAACAACTTAAAAAAGGATTTTTGTATAAAAGGATACTAAGTCAGTATTCGTTTTTTCATCAATTCAGACGTCAAGTAGTTTTTCTAGGTCTCCAGGATCATACACACCTCCAACTATGTATGAAAGCCTTGTTACGCCGGACACRACGTAAGTATGGATTCAGTGATTCAATAATTATTATTCATTCATTATTAGTTATTGTAAAACTCATGAATAATTAATGAGGAAATCGCAAAACCGTGAAGAGTGTTGTGATATTTGATACAAAACTGTCTTGATTTGCATATACTTCAAATCTAATTTTCTCATCCAAATTCAATTTGATCTTTAAGTTTTTAGTAGATTATGAATGTATACACTTAAACGTTTCACAAGTAATTTACAACATTCGCGTCCATGTTGTCCCATACAACACGGCCGCTCCTGTCATAAACATTACTTAAATAAATCCACTAAACAATTAGTTTAAAGTTGATAGTTTGATACAAATTATTTGTGTTTTAATTTGAATAGTGTAAGGTCCAGGCATTCTCCATCAAGGCAGTCACCATGTAAGTTGCAATCTTTATTCACCAAAGAC